GTTTGTGGACCCACCTCGGTACATATCGTAAGGAGTTGTGGATGAATGTCTCCCCATTGAAGTTGATGTGGCGGCACCATGATGCGGATTTCCCATTATGGCGTTAAAATCATTACACATTACTGTAGCCGGGCTATCAACTTGATCAACTTGTTCAACCAGCCCATAGTGGGAGCTTAATGACTAACCCTGAATAGCACGCACTTGAATAAACTTTGTATACATCTCAATATCGCCGTCTGAATAATTACTTTGAGAATCAGCCATCATTTCAACATCATCATTGTTCGATAGTTCGAATGTTGTATAAGTTAATGACGACAATGATGTTGGAAATATATACTACAACGACGACATTCTTCTACTACTTCCAACATGAGCCTTCCTCGAAATATTTGCTATCAGCTCCTCAAGAGTTATGTTTCTCTTGAATGATATTTTAACAAGCTCATTTGATCGAAAACAACACCGGTTTTATCTTCTTGAATTTCTCCATCATAATAAACAATAGTTGAAAGTCGCGCCATTCTTAGAGTTTAAAATTTCGACAATATTATATCTGCAAAAAACAATTGAAACAAACCTGATTAAATAAATAATATATGAACGAAAATATAACACAATAATTTTTTTACACATAAACGTAAATAATTGAAATAATAAAATATTATAACAAAGTTACCTTATAACGAAAGATCGAATGAACTTCTGAATTAAATATAAGAGGATTGCTGGGTGTTTTTTACTGGTTGAAAGGATTGTTGTATTAATTTCTCGGTTGAGAGGGAATTGTGAGATAGTTTACGAGGAGAGGGCTATTTATAGCGATATATGATGTTTTAAAGCCGAGAGGTCTGGGTAAATAATGTAAGGCGTGATCCCTGCACCGCGCCTTGCATTATGCATGTCTGATAATTGAGCATGTGATAATTGAAAAGCGCGGGCATTGACTTGCGCTATAACCCTACGTGGCGTAAGGCGCGCCCCAGGGGCAGCGCTTTAGACACGTGTGTCCATGTCAGCGTAAGGCGCGCTGCAGGGACTCGCCTTACCCACGTGGCGCCAGATCATTATAAAGCGCACTGCAGGGGGCGCGCCTTACTGCAAAGGGTGTTAGATCGGGAAAAATAGTCTGAAGGGTACCTGACAGGGAAAATTATAGGTTATAGGTGATATTTTGGGGAAAACGCCTAAAAATATATGTAATAATATAAAAATAAAAATCTATAAGATATTAAATATTATAAATCTATATAAAATGATAAATTAATAATTTATATCAAATTGAGTCAGATCAATTTTTTTTACCTTAAACTTGGACCCGACCCACCTGAAGTTATACACTATATAACTAGTCCCGACGATCTCAAACCCTAAATTAAAAAAATCACTCTTATAAAATCAGATCTAGTTGGGATCAATTGAGTTGAGATTTTTTATTATCCCTAGTAAAAACCAACTACACTTTTAGCATGCCCTGTTACCACCCCTAATTAATGAAAGAAAATAAATGTGTTAAAAATTGGTCAAACCCCATAACAATAGACTTCAATGAAAACCCCTCTCAAGAGCTAAAGCTCACTGAGTCATAAGAGTCTATCTGTTTGCAAATTTGGGGGATAAGCATGCAGGTGCTTCGATGAAACCAAAAGAAAACAAGGGTAAAGTACACAAATGGTTCTCCAAGTATAATGTATTGTTTTGTTTATTCCCTCAATTATTAAAAGTTTCAAAATGATCTCTCAATTATATGGTGTTATTCTGTTGAGTCAGATGACTATTAAAAGTTACAAAATGTTCACCCGACTATTCATATGTTCCAAACTCATTCTTTTGCATTCAAACTTGACGATTTTTTTGAGCTAGATGATAACTTGTTGATTGTGATTTGATAAAATCTAATCTCATAATCGTTTGAAGTGTATTTTGTATAACAAATCTTTGTTTATGTCGTCGAGCATATGCTCGAAACATTATGTCATCAAGTCAATGCTTGAAACATTATGTTGTTTAGTCGATGCTTGAAACACTATGTCGTCGGGTTGATGCTTGAAACATTATGTCGTGGAACTAGTGCTTAAAAGTAACAATGGTACTAATATACATCATTAAAATATAATTTTATCATATTTCAGTCAGCAAGTTAATGTCCAACTCAAATTATAATCAATTTTTAATAGAAAATGATGAGTTTGGAACATATGAATAGGGATGGACATAGTCGGGTTGGGTCGGGTTTTCAATCAACCAGACTCGACTCAAATCAAATCCTCTTTTTTGAGATAAAATTCGAACCAACTTGAAATAATATATTTATAAAAAATATTACTTTTATTTAATAAAATCAAGGGCTTAATTGAAAAAAATAATATATAGAGGGGTATTATTGTAATTATTTCTAAATATCTAAGGTAAAAATACAATTTTTGGGTAAGGTTGGTTCGAATATTTTTCACCCTAAACCTGAACCCGACTTAATCCAAACATAACCTATAAAAAATCCATCCGACCCGACTCGAACATGAATTTTTTAAGAAAATTCTAACTCAATCGGATCGAATCAAAACCTATCGAATTCAAATCTCGTGCTCATCCCTATATATAAATAATTATATGATCATTTTATAATTTTTAATTATTGAAAATTCAATAAAATAATATTTTATAATTAAAAAAAGGGTAAAGTATAGTAATGGTCACTGAACATTTTTGAAGCTTGCATTTAGGTCCCCAACTTTTAAAACTTGCAATACAGTCCCCCAACATTTATTCCGTTTGCAATATGGTCCCCAACTTAAATCACTATTAGAAAATTAGGGTAAATTATATAAACGGTCATTGAACTTTTCAGGCACTTGAATTTAGGTCCCAACTTTTAAAACTTGCAAAACAGTCCCCCAATAATTTTATTTTCTTATTAAATATAGATGTATAGAAAATATAAATGATTCAATTTATATTTAAATGTATGAATCATTTATATTTTTGATATATTTTATTTTTCTTGTATAAACTAGTATTTAAAATATGTTTATATTTTAATCAAAATATTTCAATATACGAATAAAAATATATTTATATAAATTTATATTTATATTTAGATGTATAAATAAAAAAAATATATTCATATATTAATATATGAATCATTTATATTTTTTGAATATTTTATTTTTAATAAGAAATTACAATTATTAATTATATTAGAAATACTCAACTTAAGAATATATATATATAATCATGAATTATAAATATGAAAAATATAATTATTAAATTTAGTTTAAAAATATATAAATCTTAAATTTATTCTTTTAAAATATTGTATCAACTAATATTTAAAAAATATATTAAATCTATCAAACAATTTATCAAATATAATATTTTTTATTGTAAAAAAATATAATATTTTCCCATCATTTATTGCTTTCAAATTTTTTGCCGAAGTTCAAATCTCATTATTTCCATTTTCCATTATATTCTTTTTTTTCTGGCATTGGTCATACTATTAGTATATGTATTATTGTATATCTCTTAACACAAACGATGGTGTTAGCTTAGTGGCTCCACCCTGTATCTTTCATTTGCGTGACTCAGGTTTGAGTTTGCCCAAGACCCAAATTTTACTTCTTTGTAACTTAATTTTCTTCTAATTAGGTGGTGACATGTGTCACCAATAACATATATCATGATCATGTGTTAACACATGTCAGATCCTGGTTAAATGATTAATTTATTAAATTTTATTTAATTTAGGACCAAATTGATAGCATATATAAATAATTAGGTGGTGACATGTGTCACCAATGACACGTGTCATGATCATGTGCTAACACATGTCAGATCCTAATTAAATGATTAATTTATTAAATTCTATTTAATTTAGGACCAAATTGATTATATAAATAATAAAGACTGAATGTATAATAATGTCAATTCCTTTTAACTGCCATTTCATCATTTGTATCAATTGGTAACGACTAGTGGCTTAGTTGAAACAGTTAAATAATTATGTTGTATGATTGATAAATTTAAAAGATCGATGACAAAAGTAAAAAGGGCTAGATAGTTAAGTTGTCAACCTAGTAGTTTACACTTTTATTTATACGTCAAAATAACATTTTATAAATTTAAAATTCGAATTATTTTCAACCTCTTCTATATCCTAACTACTTTTTTTAATTAAAAAATTTCTTCAACAGATAAGAATTATACTATTATATTTATATAAAAAATACGTATCACATGAAATAAGATGAAATTAAATAATAATAAATCTGACATAATTGAATTTAATTGAATTGTTTTGGAATTTAGGGTTTAGAATAAAATGGAATTACTTTGGAAATTGAGGTTTAGAATGAAATTGAGGACTGTTTTGCAAGTTTTAAAAGTTGAGGGACCTAAATTCAAGTGTCTGAAAAGTTCAATAACCTTTTATATAATTTACCCTAATTTCTAACGGTGGTTTAAGTTGGGGGACCATATTGTAAACGGAATAAATGTTGAGGGACTATATTGCAAGTTTTAAAAGTTGGAAGACCTAAATATAAACTTCAGAAATATTCATTGACCATTACTATATTTTTACCCTTAAAAAAATTATTCTATAATTTTTAATAGCGAGTCGAGAGAATAATTGTTTACTTTACCCAAGAAAAAAAAAGGTTTGGGTTTAGCTTGCGTTTGTTACTAGCTTATGATTTCACTTTGTTTAGTGTGTAGGCAAGTCAGTCTTCCACGTGCTCCTGGGGACTCTCCCCCTTTCAGTTCTTGCCTTTTTCAATGCCATATTTTCAATTACACTCTCTGACCCTCTGTTTCCCTTCTTGTGTTTGTATTCTTCTTCTTCTTCCACTCGCCATTTTCTCTCTCCTCCTTTCTTGGCAGGAAAAAAAGGTCATTTCTTTGATATGAAAAGAGAGCAATACCAGTGACGAGCAAAGATTTTAGAGAGATTCTTTGTTACTTTTAAAGTTAAACATATGATGCAAGGAATCAAAGGAGGAGGTGTTGGTGTTTGGGACGACGACATGGGAGATGGAATGCAATGCAGCAATCATCCTTACAGAAATAACCCAGGTGGGATCTGTGCTTTTTGCCTGCAAGAGAAGCTAGGGAAGTTGGTTTCTTCTTCTTTTCCTTTACCTATTCGTGGCTCACCTTCTTCTTCTTCTTCCCCTCCTCCTTATAGATCTGATACTGTTCCCATTTCCGCCGCTGGCGGCGGTGGTGTTGCTACTTCTACTTCTCTGGCTATTGTTCGTCCCGTGTCAACCGGGAATGGTAATGCTAACAATGATAATGGTCGTTATGAGGAATGCTATACAAGGAAAGCTAGGATCCCTTTCCTGTTGGCGAAGAAGAAGAAGAAGATGGTGGTTGCATCATCGGATCATCCTTATCATCATCATCACCATCATGGTGTTAATATTGCTTTTAAGAGGAGCAAGTCAACTACAGCTCCCATTAGAGGGCGGTTCTTGGATGGTGACCGTGGTGGGGACTTAAGCCCTAGAAAAAGAAGCGGTTTTTGGTCATTTCTCTACCTTTCTTCCAAGACCCATGGTTCGAAAAAGCTAGATAAAGTTGCTTCCGTAGCACCACCTCCGGCCACCGTCTCAACATTGGCAGCTGGAGGAGCTTCGTCATCTGGTTCTGTAGTGAAGCCGAAGGAGAAAACCCTAGGTTCATCTAGGAAAGGAGGCATTGTTGTAGTACAAGACGACGATATCCCCCATAACGAAACCACTCCTTCAGCTGATTCGTCGTTCGAGCGGAAGGTCTCGAGATCCAGGTCCGTCGGGTGCGGAAGCCGGAGCTTCTCAGGCGATTTCTTCGAGAGGATCTCCACCGGACTCGGAGACTGCACTCTTAGGCGAGTCGAATCCCAAAGAGAAGGCAAACCAAAAGCTTCCACCGCAGCCGTCGGCGCATCGTCTGCAATCAAAGAAAGGGTCAAATGCGGTGGCATTTTCAGCGGTTTCATCATCACTTCATCGTCTTCTTCCTCGTCATCGTCTTCCTACTGGCTATCTTCTTCAGCCGAGGATCATAACGTCAATGGCAAGAGTACCAAGAGCCGGGGATGGGCCTTTGCTAGTCCCATGAGAGCTTTCACCAAGCCTTCTTCCGGTAAGAAAGACAACACCACCGTTATTAGAGAATCCAACAGCAAAAACACTACACCAAATCTTTCCGACATTCCTTCATTGTTAGCCGTTAGAAGCTAAAGAAGTGAGGAACTTGCAGGCTATTGGTTCCGGTTAAATAGTTATTACATGTTTATTTTCCATGTTTATGATCTTTTCTTAGAAAGACTATTCTTTACACCCTTGTTCTTACTTAATTGTTCCTACTGGTTTACATATATCTGCAAATAATTTTATTTTGAACTGTTTATTGTGTGATTTCGTTTTGTTTCTTTTTCTGGTATTATTACTTATATTCTCAATTACTACAAACAAAGTAGGATATAGAGAAGACGATAGTAGAAGAATTGTTCAACTAGTTTCAGGGGAAAAGATATATTGATGATTTGTTTTTTCCCTTCATCACATGGATTCACATGCTTGTTTAATCTTAAGACAATGCTTGCCCCTTTAACAGCTCTATTGACATTTTGGGTGTTTTTTTTTTCCTGATTTAAAAATCACATTATAAAAGCATTATATTCAAGGCATATAGTCAAAAAAAAAAACCTCTAACGCTTCTAGCTAGTTGTTTTGGGCTTCTAACCAGTTGTTTTGGGCTTCTAACAAGTTGTTTCGCGATTTGGCATAAACCAAACGATTTTAATAGTTAAATAGAAGATTATTATTCTTAGACATTTCGAGTTCTAACATCAACGGTCGTAAGATATTTTAATGTTAATTGTCAATCACCCTAAATTAATATAAAAAAAGTAGTTGCTTTGACTTTTACTTTTTTTTAGAGTATTTAAACACCCTAAATTAATATAAAAAAAGTAGTTGCTTTGACTTTTACTTTTTTTTAGAGTATTTAAACTTCAACGTTTCATAAGATCCTTTTATAGATGAAACTCGTTAATTAACAAATAGTTTTTTTTTAATAAATTTGGGGTGTATACAAGACTATTTGTTTAAAGATATTCAATTATATGATAACGAATGTTCATATTCCTAACATATGTGATGTTCAAATATCTTAAGGGATAATAACAAATCCCTTACTAAAAGATAACAAAGGCGTTCAAAGGTTTCCTTGGGTCGGACAGAGATTGACCCTCGAGTGCAAAGGTAGAAGTGAGTTTAATTGCAAGACTCACTCGTTCCTACTGATCCGACGGTGTCAAGTAGAATGCTCATCGCTCAATAGATAAAAGTTACTTTAGGGATAATAGGTTGATCTTCCCCAAAAGCTCGCTTGCTGAACCTCTTGTGGATCAATGTCACTACCCTTCTGGCCCTCGAGTGCAAAGGCAGAAGAGAGCTTGACTGCAAGATCCGCCCTTCGAGCAGGGACGAAAGTCCAATGATCCGACGGTGCTGAATAAAAGGGTCGTCGCTCAACAATTAAATATTATTGTAGGGATAACAGGATGATCTTCTCCAAAAGCTCTCTTGCTAAGCCTCTTGTTGATCAATGTCATTACCCATCTTCGAATCATTTATTAAAATTGTGATTTCATTATTGCCTATTATAGCAAAACCACCCATTAGAGCCATCATTACGATTAATGTTTTAAAATAAGAGTCTTTTTGTGTTAAAATAAAATGTTGAATGTCAAAATATCTTCGAAATAAAAAATAAAGATCAAAATAATTATTCTATCAAATGTTAAGAATCTTTTTTATTTTAAAATAAAATATTGAGATCAAAATACTTAAAAAAGAGAATAAATATCAAAATTATTATTTTAATAAAAGTTAGGGTTAATTTTAATATTATCATTATATTTTAATATTATCATTATATTTTAATCAACAGTTACTTTAAACATTCTTGTTTTTCTACACCAAACAGTGGGATGATAGGAGATCTAAGTTTACCTAGACGAGTTTGATTTGCCCATACCAATAAATTGTGATAACTAACTTTGACGACCAAATTATGAGATTATGATGAGGGAGATGCACTATTGAGGAATAGGGACGTTGCAAACTAATGGCGGACCTATGTGTATTTTAATGTGGGCAAAATTTAATGAAAGTTTAAAATATGGTGGGGGAGCATTTGGGTCACTGCAAAAGGCTGAAAGAGAAAATGGATGACATTTCTTTAACGCACTTCATCAGCAGCAGCCCCGCCTCACTCTTGCAAGTCCCAATGTGCAACGGCAATGTTAGGGGATTTGCTAAAATTGGCTTTTTTTTACCAAAATATATTTCATCAAAAAAATAATTTTAAAAATTACTTACTAATTTTACACCTAAAAATGATTATTTTTCGTGTTGACACTCATTTTGACGGTGTTATTATGTTAAAAAAGCCCCAATAATTAATTATTTGGAAAAAAAACAACCCAAACACTTTTTTTTTTAAAAAAACCCAAACAATTTTCTTAGAAAAATTATTCATAAATCTCGCGTTGTGCAAAAAGTGAATAAGAGCTCGCATTTTATAAAATGTGAGTTCCATGTATTTATAGTGCCCTTTATCCAAAAATTAAATGAAGTTATCTGAAAAATTGATGGATCTTGCGTTATGCAAAACGCGATGTCCTTAAAAAGCGTTTTATAGAACACGAGATAGTCATACGTGTACAACTTGAAGGTTATTTTTTTAAAATAATGTTGTTTTAAGGTTATTTTTCTAAATAATTAATTATTGAGGTTCTTTTTTTTTTTTTTTACATAAAATCACTCATTTTGGCAGCATAAGGTGAAGCTCATTTTGACAACGTAACGCGAAGATGCTTCTTGTAAAAAACACTTTTCACCATGGTCATTTATGACGTTGTCACGTTAGGTAAAAAATGTCTTCTGAAAAATATTTCATCTAACATGATGTGATCCTGATCAGCATCCATTTTCTCCATTGTTTGATCACACCATGGAAGATCATTAAGGCTAACTCTAAGGCAATTTTACCTTACTTCATCTTCTTTTTACTTGTTTATGAGTTCCTTTGTGATAAGGAGTTCCAAACAGCCATGGAAAGTATGTTTATATCAAGCTTGAGATGTGAGGAAGGAGGAATAATATGGGAGGAAGACTTTACGTTTCTTATGCATGAATTTGCATGAGAATTTGAAGTTTTCATAACATTCAATACATTTAATAAGTGTGATGTTCATTTAAGCATGTTTTGCATTTAAATCATCTAGTTCATTTAGAAAAGTTGTTCATTTATGCCTTTAGATCCTTTAGTAAGCTACTTCATTAATGCATCTAGTTCATTTAATAAAGTTAGTTCATTTATAAAACTAAATCTTAAATTGTTTCATGCATGTTTTCAATTAAAGATTGAATAAAGTTCACATTTGTGTCTAGGTGCATGAGAGAAGTTGAACGGTTTCATCAGATGCAAGAATGTTAGTCAGAATGTCTTCGAATTCTGGATATGGTACATATATGTTTGGTTCCATAAATCAATTGGGCATTATTCCTGTATCTCTTAGTTTTCCAACGCCTTTTGAATCGCCTAAATCCGATATCGGGAGCTTGAGATATGATCAATTTATTGAAGACTGTGCAGGCTGGAATTTTGTTACGAAAATTTTATGAATGAATGATTTGGATGAGTTTGAGCCAAGGGAGAGTCTTTTCAACTTTAGCCAAGTGACAAGCCATTGAAGGACTCTTAATTCACGCATTCAAGGCATTCAAAGCTGATTATTATCTTCTAAATTCAAGGGCTATTCATATTCTTCAAGGGAGCATGCAATGAAGCTGATTTAATTCACTTATTAAGACAATTTCCAACATGGAATAGCAAGAGTCTTCCACCCCTTGAATGAAATTAAGGCCAAATTCAGCTTCAAATTGTCTAGATTCATCCCCAAAATGATATAGAATATTCAGCCAACCTTGATGAGAATGTTTTCATCTTTTGAGTCTTTTCATATGTTGCTTAGAAATACTATAAATAGGCACCTTTTGGATCATTTTTACATACATTTGAATATATAAAACATCTTTAAGAGGTTGCTTTCATTCTTGTTCTCTTTTAGAACTTTATTAGCTTCAAGATAGTCTTGCAGTCTTCATCCATTTCCTTTTGTTATAGCGTTGGTTCCTAGCTCATCTATAGCTAGTGGGTCACATTCCATATCCTACCACTTCTACCTTTCCACCTTATTATATTGTTGGTTCCTAACTCATATATAGTTAGAGGGTCACAATCCATCCTTTGAATTATTATCATTCTCCACGCCAACCACAAACATCCTTCACTATTCTCGTTACATCCATTCAACCACTATCACCACCACACTTTTTTCATATACAATCCACTTCAAATTCTTTATATCATTTCCATTACTTTCATATACATATTTATATATACATATTTCCCTTCTTGTAATGTTGTTTGTGCATTTTCAGTCTTCAATCAAAGCACTGTGAAGTTCTTACTAGAATCACGATCGGGAACACTCATATATGACTCGGAACACATAATCGGGATCATATCATTTGGTATCAAAGCTAGTCAATTCAGTAAGTGTATCGTATAATTTTCTCTCTCCCGGGTTAGTAAACAAATCAAAAAAATCAAAATAAAAAAATCAGAAAAAAAACAAAATAAAGAAAAAGTTTAAAGAGGGAGTGAGTAATTCTTTTCATCTTTAAAGAAAAAAAAAATAATATTTACTTCATCTTTATATGCCATTATTCAATTTCGTTACCTTTATTTACCATGTCTTTTCCTTGTAGCCAATTTCTTTTCACTACCATTGCTACCAAGTCACAATTGTTTCAGCCGAAGTCCGCTAGACACTTGTAAGCCTTGAGGAAGTTCCCAAAAGGACTTGAAATCAAAGCATGAGTGGTAAAAGGCAAGAGTGAACATAGGGTAAAACCATCCTGAGTGAAACAAGAGTGGGAGTGACTTTTCCTGGAGTGTTTGGTGAGGTTTTTCCTTTTATCCGTGATGTTAATTCTTTTATTACTAATTATGTCTCATCATTTGAGAAACAATTCTCAAGTTTTAGGTGACGGTGTACAAAACCTACAAATACAAGCCATGACATGAGAGATTAGGAGTTTGTTTCAAAAACATCTCGACCCAATCTTAAAGAAATTGGAGCTAATGATTGAACGGCCTTCTTGTTCACAAATGTGTCCCGAAAGATGAAAAAACAACTAAAAATGAGAGACAACACTCGATCATTTTATAGTTCTACACCCAATTGCAGCAGAAGAATTTACAAGGAGGACCCCAATTTTTTAACAAAAAGCAATGTCAAAAGTTCAACGCAAAGTGAGCCAAGGAATTTTGCATC